AGACCAGGCTGGCCTCGAACTCACAGAGATCCGCCTGCCTCTGCCTCCCAAGTGCTGGGATTAAAGGCATGCACCACCACCGCCCGGCACAATCATAGCACTTTTGATGTTGAGGCAGGAGGATCTCTATGAGTTCAAGACCAACCTAGGCTACATAGTGATTTCCAGGTTGACTTGGGCTTTAGTGTGGAAACCTATCTCAATTAAAAAAAAAAAAAGAACATAGGAATGAAATAATGAAAGAAACTAGACATAATTTTATTGGGATCAGAAAATGTTGCTTCACAGTAGATAATATCAGAAATAAAGAATATTTTATAATGTGTATCAAGATATTCTAATGTCTTGTTACACAGTCTCTACTGTCCTGATTTTCACTATCTAACACATGCTAGAATGAATGGAGTTGGTATTTATAGACTCATATATTTGTATGCTTAGTCCTGAGCTAAGCTAAGAAGAATTAGGAGGTGTGGCTTTGTTAGAGGAGGTGTGCCACTGGAGGAAGGCTATATCTCAAAATCACATGCCAGGGCCCGGGCCAGACCCAGTCTCCCAGTCTTACTCTCTGTCTTTCTGTCTCTCTGTTTCTGTCTCCTCCACCCCCTCTGCTGCTGCTACCTGAGGATCAGGATGTAAAAGCTCTCAGTTACTGCTCCAGCACCATGCCTACCTGTGTGCTGCCATGTTCTCAGCCATGATAGTAATGGACTAAACCTCTGAAACTGTAAGCCAGTCTCAATTAAATATTTTCATTTATAAGAGTTGCCATGGTCATGGTGTCTCCACATGTTAGAAAACTAACTATGACACTGACCTAGAAATTCCAAAATTCCAGTAATTATTCTCCCTCAGCCTCCCACATGCTGGGAATATGAGCATGTACCACCACACCACCTTTCAGTCTATTTATTGCCTGTCTCTAAAATATATTTGTCTATTATTTGGTACTTGGTCAGTTATATTAGGATATATATATATATATATATATATATATATATATATATATATGCTCTTCCAACATACCTTGTGTCTATGCAAGAATTACAAGTGTTGGAGCAGAAATATAAAATGAAAATAAGTAACTGAGGTCTAGACAGCCTTAAATTCTTCAGCTATGAATGTAGGAAGCATTAAGTGAGTTGGAGCCAATCTTTTTAGCTTAATTAGTTATAAAAATTGGTGTAAGGCTATCTTCTAGTAGTTACTATATACTGTAACGTGGCCAATGCCACTTCATGCAGCAGTAAATGCTTATACAATTAGTAATGTAACCAAGCCCAACTCATAAGAACATCCACAGTTAGAAATGCAGTGGCAGAGACTTATTATTTGTTGTTCTTTGCATATGGAGCATAGTGTTTTCTCCTGGATGTGTGACTAAATAAAAAGGTGCAGAGTTCCAGCAATCAGAATAAATGCCTCAAACATCTGCAGCTATACATATGTGGAGCATACAGCTGTGTTTATTTCAAAGATAACACATTTACATGCATACAATACATTTGCTTAAATGTATATTTTATGCATGTGAGAAATTCAAACAAAGACATTTTCTGTATTTGAATATGCATTTGAAAAATGACTCAAAGACATTCTCTACATTTATTTAAAGCTAACAGCATTTATTTATACAGTGTACTTATTAATACACAATCATAACTCTTTCAGACTAACATATTTTAAAAGATTAAAGAAACTTAAATGGGAGCATAAGTCACACACATCAAAAAAGTTTTGGGTAGAGTTATTCATAGTTCAATCTTTCAAAAGACTTTGAAAGTTCAGCAAGATTTAAAAAAAAGTAAAATCATTTGCAATTGGAATGTGCTCATTTTATTCCAACAATTTTGTCACAGCAGGGTGGGCATTTTATTTGAAAAAGGAAGCATGTATCTTGAGTTATTTATTTTTCTTTCTACTATACTATCTGATAAGATACACATTCCTTGTTTTTGATTTAATAAATGATAAATAGAATGCTTCATTATTTTAAACCCTTCCCTGAGAAAAATACATACACAAGTCTAGTTAAGATCATTAATATAATCTCATTTAATTCTACCTTTGCTTAAGTTAAAAGAAGTGGATACCAGAAAATAATTGAGATGTACAGAAAATAAAAACATTTTAAATTTCATTTCTCAAGATATCATGAGAGATTTTGGAGAAATTTTTATGTGTCTACATTCTTTCTATATGGTATTTTGCCTCTTACAAAAGATGTAATGGGTTAGCCAGAGGAGGATAGCAAACTTTAGTAACAAAAATTACAATTGAAGGGATTTTATTTATTATTGTATTATATTTTTCTTTTTAAATTAAAAATAGATTCTCCCCTAACACCCTACATCCCAACCAGTTTCCCTTCTCTCCACTACTCCAGCTCCCCCAGCCACCCCCAAAGGTCCTCTCTCTTCTAGATCTACTACCCCTATATTCCCTCTTCATAATAGGGCAGGCCTCCAAGAGACATTAGCCCAACAGGACAAAACAAGATACAACAAGACAAGGCAAAAGCCCTCATATCAAGGCTGGACAAGACAACCCAATAGGAGGAAAAGAACCTCAGGAGCAGGCAAAGAGTCAAGGGATACACCTGCTCCCGCTGTTAGGAGTCCCACAAGTACACTAAGCTAACGGCCATAACACACACACACACACACACACACACACACACACACACACACACACACACACACACACACGGAGGACCTGGTGCAGACCCATGCAGGCCACGTGCTGCTTCAGGCTCTGTGAGCCCATGTGAGCCCCACTGAGTTGATTTGGTGGTTTCTCCTGGTGTCCTCCACTTCCTCTGACTCCTACAGTTTGAATTTTAAATTTAGTTTACATCAGTATAAAGAGAAACACTGCTGGCCCTTAGTTTTGTTCAGTGATTAAATAAACTTAACCAGTTCTAGCCTGTTTCCTACACTGTAGATAATAATCTTTCAAGAGGTGTTGTCAGGATTGTAAAAAGCATAATTTAGAAAGCAGTCAATTGTCAAATACATTCCCAATATTGTTTGTTCTTATTTTACAGATGTGAAAACTGTTTCTGAAAAAGACCCACAATCATAGTCTCTGGTCACATTTCAACAATTACTTTTCCTAAATTGACTCTCTTGTTAAAAGTGAAAAATTAAATCAAGAGTTTCCCATTCATTTTCTTTTTTTGAATCTCACGACCTCCCCACCCCTTGACTGTTGGAAAGTTTTCCTAAGGATATTCCCCTGACTGGATTTGGGTGTGTTTGCGTGTGAAAGGTGGAAGTTGGCCACTCGCTAAAATAACTTATTATGTTTGTGAAAAAGTCAGACTTCTCTAGGTTAACTTGTGCATCCTCAGAAGTACCAAAGCTTTCTGGTATTGAGAAAGGATGGGCCTAAGGGCTGGCGCCATCCTGCAGGCTCGCGCGGGGAAGGTCTAGCCAATCAGAGCGCAGACTGAGGGCTGGCCCCACCCCTCCTCCTATGGTCCTCCCGGAGTAGGGGTGTGCGGCTCCTCGTCCCGCCCCTGCCTCTGAGTGACAGCAGCGTGGACAGCTGCCCACCCGGCCGGACCCGCAGTTGGGCCGCCCTCGCTGTGCTCCGCTGAGGTGTGTTTCCGGCGAGGGCTGGGGGTTCGGGGTCCCAGTGCTCAGGATGGGCCCGGGGCTGGAAGCGCGCTTCCTCGGCGTCTCCCAGCCCTGTCTCCGGAGACTGTAGCTCCGGCCCGGGGGCGGCCCCAGGCGCGGGGCCTGGGCGTTGGGAGGCTCTTCCCGGAGAGCTAGGCTCCGAGGCCTCCCTTTCCAGCAGTGTCCTTCTGGCTGGGCTGGGGCGGGGTGGGCGTGGCCGCCTCGGTTGCCGAGCAACGCGGGGTGCGCCCTGCCAGCGTGTCTTGGAGCTCCTGGTCTTGAAACTCAGTCCCACCCACTCCCCTCCGCCCCGGTCTTACCCTAGGCTGTGGATTCGCTCCCTGTGCTGTCCATTAACTCGAGGGCCGTTTCATAGCTGCGTGTAACTCTAGTTTCTACAAATTCTGCTCAGGCCTCCCTCTTCTGTGTTTTAATTCCTGTATACCCTATTCTGTTACCTTTTGTGGGAACAGTCTCTGAAACCAAAACATTTGTAGAGAAGGGTTGCTTTATTGGTTAGTGCTCCTGGCAAAATGGGGTTACTTTTCCTGATGCTTGGTGAATCCTTGAACCCAAACGATGTTGCTGTCTGTGTGGATGCCTAGGAAAAGGAGTTCTGCGGTATGGTGTCTTCCACTTGACCTTAATGAACTTCCTTTGGAAGTTGCAACTCATTACAGGAAGGGCTTTCGTATATGGTCTTCATTGCAGTCTACTGTGAAGCATATTAGACATCCAAACACCTACTATTGGACCCATATTTAATGATGAACTACAAGTGCAACACAGGTAACTTCTGCAGATCTCTTCTTCCCCCAGATCTTTTGGCCCCACATGCTTCAGCAAAACAAACGTTCTATAGGAAAACACAAAGGAGAAAGAAGTTGGCCTTTCTGTCTCTGTGCTAGGCTTCCAATGTAAATCCTCAGGAAGGGAGCTTTGCTTCTTCGGCTGTTCACTAGCCAGTAAGGCAAGGTTAGTTTTCCGTATATGAGAACCCTCAACCATTTTTCATCTCTAAAGTGCTCAATCTAGTGTCTACCCTAGTAGGATTAACTGATTTAAAAGTATGATTAAAATAGTGATCTGTACAAATGCAAGGTGTTACTGATTACAATTTCCATTTGTTTAGCTTAGAGTACTTTAAAATGTTCTTGACTCTTCTCTTAGTTCTTTGATTTGTTGAGAAATGAAAATGAAGCCCTTTAATCTTTTCTTTACTGGTTCAGCGTTGTTACTGCTTAGGTAGCACATGAGTGCGTTGCATGGCAATTTCTCTGCCCTTAACAACATTAGTTCCCCACCTGATTACAATACTCAAAAGTGGGGATGTAGTCGTGTGGGGCCTCTTGGAAAGATTGGGAAATGTTAGTGTTAAATCTAATAATTTCCAAAATTTTTGATGTCACCATTTTGAGAAGTCAAGGAAAGCTGTAAGTAATCCTTTAGATGGGGCAGAAATTGAAGAGTAAGTGGAAGCTATATTGAGACCACCTGTTTTAATTTAGGGACAAGATAATAACTTCCTCCCATGACTGATTTTTTGGAGCAGAGATTTTTAATACTCTTTCTTCCAAGGAGCCTCTTACCCCATCTAACTCTCCGTATAGGGTCATTACAATCCATCTCATATTTATTAGTAATCAACCAATATCCAATACTGAATAACGTGTTGCTGTGTTAAAGTGTACGCTGTGTTTCATTCCAGACCTCCATTGATCTTGCCTATGAAATCATATTCAGGTATTTAAACAAGTTGAGATAAACATAAAATGTGAAAAATTTCTCTTGCATCAGTGTTCATTTGGACAAAGAGAGGCTGATTATGCAACTGTAAAATCGTTTCCTGGTTCTTTTTTACAGTTCAAGTGAAAGACCTTTTGTGTTTTAATTTACATAGACTAGCACACATATCATGGTTTTCTTCACTGGTAGCTGTTTTCCTGACTTTATAGAAGACTTTAAATAGAGTTTGATATTTTTTGCTCAGATAACCCACAAAAGCAGATACCGGTTATAAACATGCTCCCACTGGATAGAGATAGCATCGGAGTATGAAGTATGTATTTCTTTTGTAGTAAGTGTTGAGTATACAAAAGGACCTGGTGTTTCTTAGAACTATTCATATGAACTCTGTCCTTCTTTATATTTGGGCTGTCAATTTTTAGTAAATAAACTAGATCAAAGAAAGATAAACTAGACAGAGCATCAATGGTTTAAACATTTTAAGACTTAGAAATGGATTTTTGTTTCTTGTCCTGAGTTTGTAAACGGTATTTGAACATCAGTCTTGCTATTAACAAGCTGACTGGGGGTTAGTGCTCTTGACAGGATACAAAAAATGGCTAGTCCTTTTTCCTAGCCTCTCTAGCCTTCTATTCCCTTTCCCAGAAACTAGACCTTCAATCACCTGCTGGAGAAAACTTTTAGTTTTTAGAATAGATATGCTTACTCAGACTTACGGTTTTGTATCCCCCACACTAGCTCCATCATGGGAGCGATGTAGACTGGTGGGTCCCAGTCACTGATTAGACAGTGCTCTCTGGTAGTTCCTGACCTTGTTGCTGCCAAAATACCTGACCACAGCAACTGAGGGATGGAAGGTTTATTCTGGATTAATGTACCAGAAGTAGTCAGAGGTGGTGGGGAAGGCCTGGGGGCAGGAGCATGGGGCTGCTGGGAATACTCTATCAACAGGAAGAAATGAACAGTATATGCTTGTGCTCAGCTAGTTTTCTTCTTTTCATGCAACCCAAGACCCAGCCCAGGGAATGGTGCTGCCCACTTTTAGACTGGGTCTCTCCACCTTGACATAATGATGATAATCTGTTTAGACAAGCCCAAAGGCCTGTCTCCTAGATGATTCAAGGTTTTATTAGGTTGATAATTAATACTAACTATCACATTCTCTTATTTAGAAACTGAGTGAATGGAATCTTAGTTCAGGATTGTTAACCTGGTGCTCTGGTTTCTTACAATGAGTGATATTTCTTGGTCATTGGATGTGTGTAATTGAATTTTTACATTTACATGTTCCTCCATGTCAAAGTGTGAAGTGAGGACGTGTTTCCCCCAGACTTTGTGCATATATCCTTGTTTTGGTTTCAATAGCATTGGCTCTATAGATGTCTTAAACATACTTCTTTGAATATAGTATTTTTGTATTTTCTCAGAATAGTTAAAATGATACTAATAGAAAATAGTGATTCATATTTACTCATATTTGATTTTCTCAAGAAATTTCTTAATTGAACAAATAGGAATGATTTAGTCTAGGAACTAATTCTTTTTCAGACCTCTTAAATATACTTAATCTTTTTTTATATGGTAGAAATGCCAGGTGTCTTTGAAACAGTAGAGTGATTTGTGTGTGTATTTTAGTGAAAAAAAATTCTTTTACCTCATAAATTTGAATAATAATAAAAGGGTAAACATTCTGTACTCAGTGATATAGCAAACCATTGTGTTGAATCACCAGGTAAAAGAATTTCATAAGATGAAGGTTTTTTGTCAACAGCATGTCTTTGAAGTCATGGAAACCTGGCAAGAATAAAGTAGCTTGCTTCTTTTATAGATTCTCATAGTTGCATATTTGCAAAAACAGCAGTCCAGTTAGATTGTAAAATGTAAAATTTTAACTATTATACAACAAAGATGACTCAATCTGGAGAACACTTGGTTTTGCATAATAATGTCATATTTAGAATAATAAATTATATGGCTACCTGTGACAAGATCCAAATTATGGATTATAGTTTATACCCTGATTCAGGTGGGGAGTATATTGGATGGAAAGCTTTAGATTTGACTCTGGTAACAGACATATTATTTATTGGGTTTTAAAACATTTCTGTTCATCAAGTTTATTTTGTGTAGGAAGGCCTGGAGATTAGTGGGTTTTGTTATTTTTTTCCCCACCATCATATTTGAGCATTGTAATGCATTCTTCACAGTGACTCAGTGTAGCACTCGGTCTCTCTGGGTAGGGTTATAGTAGATTATTTATTTTCTGATACTGTCCCTTCTCTGCTTCTTGGATCCCATTCTCTAGATTCTTTCCTTTCCTCAAATCTGTTTCCTCCAAAACACTGGACTATGCAGAAATGTCCTATACAGGTTTTTATGTGGTATTCTGGAAAACATAGCATTTGGCAGTGAAATCAAGTCGAAGAAAACACCCCATCAAACTAAGGAAGTTAACGAACAACTCAGAGGCATGCCTGAAGTCAAAGAAGACCAACTCAAGGAAATGTTTGATGCTGATGTGTTCATAATGCATGGCCTCTATGTTTAGAACTCCATCCAGGAAAGTCATACAGAGATAAAGTGATAGTAGAGAGAGAGCAGCAAAGATAAAAAGATGACAAGAAAATGAAAAATATAAGAAACATCGAGTCTTTACTTTTGGTGTAATGGCACTAATTTAGTGGTTTATAAACAATGCAGTTTCAATAACTTATACTTGTGTAGTTTGGAGTTAGATATGTATCACATTGGATGGTAATAACAGTGCCATCAGGGCTGTATTCCTTTGTGTTACTTCCAGTAGACAATCTTGGTTTATGTGCCTTTCCCATCCACCCACATTCCTATATATCTGACCCTCTTCTTTCATCTGTTAAGACAGCAACATTGCATGTGTCTGACTTGTCCTTTGTAGCCCCATCTCCTAATGACAATGTGGACCCATCAGTAAATTATTCCATGTTCTGTGAATTAAAATTCATACATCTTTGGCCCTAGTGGGTATAATACCATCTCTGGTATAAGTAAGTCAGAAGTTCACAATGTTTTATTCTCATTCAAATATATATTGTCACTATTGAATGGATTTGTTTCTTTAACACATGCTGTCAGTTTTAAATAAGACTTAACTAAAGTATTTGAAGACACTGCTTCATCAGCTTAAATAGCATACACATACACTTTTATGTTCATGGCACACGTCTTATAATTAGTACCTTACCAGACTGAGTTTTCCCCAAAAGCAAACAAGGTAGCTAGACTCTCTTATACTTATAGCAGTGGATTTCTATTGCTCAAACCCTAGAAATACCAGACACATGGGCATATATTTTAAGTTCCTAAAACATTACTCTGCTGGCTTTGTGGAATTAGATAATGCAAAGTGCAGATGTGAAAGTGGGAACTTTCCATTCCTGAAGGTACATTCTTTTGTTTTCATGTGAAATAGTTTTTTTTCTTTATGATTGCAATTTGAAATTGTTCCTTCTTTGAGTGGTCATATCTTACATAAAAAAATGCCTTTTGAATCTCTTGTTCGTTTTCAGCTAGTAAAATGTTTTTAACTCCAGGCCTGAATGATGAACGTTAACATATAAGATTGAATGGTGCCTTTCCATTCAGTAGATCCAGATTTACTCCAGATGTCCATCAGTGTTTTACTTGCCTCAGCATCTTCTTGATCTTTGATGAACTGTGCCAACATCAGAAAAATCTACTTTTCTTTACATCATAATGGTGCTTTTATTTTTATCATCTATAGAATTGGGTCAACCTTTACATGAAGATCTTAGACTTTGCTTTTGAAAGGTAAAAATGTTACTATCCAGATATTATAAATATTTGACCATTGTATGTTAAAACCCTGTGACTATAAAGGTAAGCATTGTAATGTTTAATAAGAGAATTACTTATTAATCATATAATCAAAGATTTGTCTGGGAAGAGTATGTAAGTTATACAGAATAAATATAAAATTTAATGGAGTCTTCAAGACTTCCAGTGAATCAAGATTGATAACTCTAGGAAGAAGCTTGCACTGAGAG